GATCTCTATAAAGTTTCATTTTGTCTCCCATTTTTAAACTCTCTAATTACGGCATTTCTTCCACATTTTTTTTCAGTTACACATGATTCAGATGTTTTACACATGAGAGTTTAAATATTTTGTTAAGTAAATACTACTCATAGTGCATAACACTCTTTAATTACATACATTACGTTAGGTAATGAGGATGTAGAAATTCTTACACTCTGAGAGCACTACATGAGATTCGAAATCTGTAGATCATGTTGGATCATACACCTTGTAGAAATTGTAGACTTAATTTCAAAAAGGTTAAGTAAGGAAACATTCAAAGATGTATCCAACTCATAGCATACCTGTCACCAGCCATTAACAATGTTTCCAAGTTGACAGGCATGGCATCCATCCATCTATGGATGCCTGCAGGTCCATTGGTTTGAGAGATTATGAAGAAAAGAGACCCCAATAAAATTTGGTAGAAACACATTTTGGGGGAAGATTTCCACAAGCATAGAACTAATATGGATGATTTGGAAAGGATTGGCTTCATGCGGCCTTGAAGGTGCAATTGTGGTTGAGTCCAGGTGCACTTGATTGGGAGTGAAGGACATGGCTTCTGGGACAATCCCAGGGTCTTGTGTGGAGTGGTTAAGCATTTCTTAGTAGTATTTCTTTCCCCTGTGCACCACACACTCATGTGAACACACAAACACACAACCCACATTCCAGCAGGAAGCACGGCTTTCCCCCTAATCATCTGCTCTGGTTGCCATAGCAACCCTTGTAGCCAAGTTCCTAGCTGAACAAGTTTTAGGAGACACCAGAAGATTTTCCTGCACTGTTCTCACTGGAGGAACAGAGGCTGGATGGGGTGGAGATGGCTCAAAGAGTGGCCTGCAGCGAGGGCAGTGGAAAAAGGGCCCTCAAAGACACCAAACCAGCTCCAGGCAGAGCCACAGTGGAGAAAGGCTGCCCGCCTATTTGGAGTGGCTCACCAGGCAAAGGTCAGATTGTATGTGGAACCCCCTCTCTGGACCCCGCAGGGTGCAGGGCTCCAGGAGGCGTGGATGGCTGTGTGCAGAGCCTCAGCTGCTGGTACCCAAGTGCTGGCCTGCATGCATGTTCTCTCTCTCCTCCTTATGGCTGGCAGGGTTTGAGCTGGACACAAAACCTCCATCTCCCGCTTCTCGAAAAATCTAAACCGTAAAATTTCTAGTAAGATTTCTGGTAAAAAAAAAAATTCGTGGTCAAAAATAGACAAATGTTTCTTACTATCATTGCTTCTCAAGGCCTACTTGCTGCCGCTGCTGACTTAAACCAACAGGCAGCTCAGTTCTTACCATATTCCTTCTGTGAGCAGGACCCTGAGTGTGGTAGGGCCTGGGCATGGGGTCGAGAGCAAGGTGAAGGTAAAGGAATTCACCTGAGAGAGTATGGCCTCCTGATGCCAGCACAAGGGCTGGAAATCTCTTTAAGGCCTATTTAAGGACAGATAGTCAACATCCTCTAAGAAGCTACAAGGTTGCACGGTAAGGAAAGTTCTTCAAGCTTCGGGAAGTCCTTTCCTTCAACAGTATCACATTGGAAATTGGCGATATGTTTGCAAGGATAAGGAAGATCTTCTCGTGTCTGCCTGATGGAGAAACTACAAAACTTGAGATGAAGCTCAAGTCACTGCTGAGGAAATTTTATAGCTTTTATTAGAAAATGAGAAATGATTTATAATAAATGAACTAAGATTGCTACTCAAAAGGCTAGAAAAAAATAGCAAGATAGACCCAAAGATCTGAAGAAATAAGATTCAAATCTTAGCTCTGCTATTTATATTGGGTAAGAGAGTTTGGGGTGGGTTAATTCACCTCTCTATACCTCAGTTTCTTCAGCTGTAAAATGGGTATGATAATAAAAGCATCTACCATCACACAGTTACTGTAAGGATCAAATGAAATACTATATGCAAAAGTGCTTTGTGAGTGGTATGACATATTATTAGAAAGAATTTTCATGGGCGTGGAAAGGTATAGCATGTATATACAATCTATTTTTGTAAAAAAACCAAAACAGATATAATACATAGAAAAATCCACATGGATAGTTACCGATGTATTAAAATCCATATCTATGGCAGTATTTCTCAACTTTTTCAAACTAAACTCCCTCCAGAGTCTTTTTAGAATTTTCACCCCAACAGAATTTTAATACTACAGATATACTGTATATCTCTCTATGTATGTATTGTATGACTATTTGTGCTTTATAGAAGAATAAGCTTTTCTCTCCTCGAGGACCACTTTTTGTCCCCTTAGGGGCTGTATTGTGCCCATTGAGAATGGATGGTGTATGGACAGTAGAAAATGCAGATTTTTCTTTGTGCTTCTTTCATATTTTCCTTTACTTTCCCCCTTTATTTCTTGCTGTTCACGTCTTCCTTCTTCCTTTCCTTCTCCCAATTAACATGTATTCCTTGTGTAATTTAAAGTATCTTAGTGATTATTTATTTATTTATTGTGATTTAAAAAAAAAATCAAGATGGGTGATAAATGTACTGAATACTTCCAGACCCCTTCTTTATGTGTTAAAAGTTAATACAGGTTAAAGGCTCAGAGCATCCTGGAATCAAACTGCTTGAATTGGAATCATGACAGCATCTCACAATTGTGTGACCTGGAGTATGTTGCTTACCTACTTAAAGCTTCAGCTTACTCATTTTCAAAACAGTGATACCTGCAGTGTATCCCCCTAAAAGTGGCTGACATTAAATCATCATTCATGCCAACTTGGTGGGTGCTAACCTATTTCCATGGCAAGAAATGCATGTAGTTGGGGGTCCTCCCCTAGATAAAATGCCTTAACCCTCAGAAGCTGCTGGAAGGTAGAGAATTTTCGACACTACAGCAAAAAGAAGGTTGTCTTGTCCCTTGGGCCTCAAACTGTGTGGGCGTTTATTTGCCTAGTCTTTTCCATCCTTCCTCAGCCTTAATTAAAAACCTAATTTCTCTATTACCATAACAATGAGTGAAACAACAACTGATTTGTTTCGCCAAATTAATTCTCCTTTTGGGAACCTGGGAGAACATTATTTATCAGAGCAGCAGACAGAGATTTAAAAATGGAAACATCTTTCCAATATGGACACCAAATTCAGAAAATGATGGGGCTAATATTTCAATGTTTGAAGGTCTCTTGGAGATTTGTTCACTGCGGTGTCCCCAGCACCCAGGACAATGCTGGTGAACAGAAAACACTCAGTAATTACTTGCTGAATAGGTGAGTGGAATTAGTATCACCAAGATCTCACTCTTCACGAGTTTTAGCTATTGCTTGCGCAAAGTATTTACAAGCAAGTGCAAGAATTTAATTTGTTTTGACGTTCCATTGGATGTTTTGTGTATTTCCGCCTGTTGGCAATGAAGAAAGAACAGGTTTACCTTTTCATGCGCAGTCAAAATGAAAAAACTCCTCTAAACATCATTCTATTTGCCAGTGATGAAATGTTTCCAGAGAATGAAAAACACAAGATATTTCCAACGTAGGCTCCAAAGTCACGTTTTTAAGGAGATAGGACGGTGTCATGGGATATGACAGCACCTTAGGGATTAACCTGTATGAGATGGTGAACTCACTATTTTACGTGTTAAGGTAAATATTTTGATAGTTTGGAGGACTCCCTCATACCTTCTTTTTCTACTTTATTTTTTTTAAGAAACAAGAAAATTAAAAAAGAAAGAAAGAGAAAGAAGAAAGAAAGAAAGAAAGAAAGAAAGAAAGAAAGAAAGAAAGAAAGAAAGAAAAAGAAAGAAAGAAAGAAAGAAAGAAAGAAAGAAAGAAAGAAAGAAAGAAAGAAAGAAAACTTATATAACCTTAAAATTGTATCCAGAGGGGAAAGGGTTAGAGATAACTTCTCCAAGACACTTTTATTGTATTACAATTTCATCTTCATTTCTCATTTTGCATATCTTAAGGTTTATTCTGAAGAATTACTGAATGGAAATAAAACACAATTATATATCATCAATAAAGAAAAATTTGCAACATGGGAACTAGCACCTGTGATGGGTAAGGTTCAATAATTCTTATATTTTTGTGACTAGATTTTTCGGAGCTGAAAATTGCTGCCACCAGCTATGTTTGGGCTTTTGCTTCAGGCACTCCTAGAGTATGATTTAGGAACTATTTCCAACCCTAATGGGATAATTTAGTATCCAGTCCCCAAAACCATGTGGTCTGCAGCTCTGCCTTGGAGAATTACAGACTTTCAGAGCCAGGAGGTAAACAAAACCCAAACAAAAAAACATTCAAAAGATACTGTAGTCCAGTGGCATCAAACATTTTTCGAGCAGCAGAACTTACTCAAATGCAAGTTTCTCTGGAAGCTATAGCAGATAATGTCGGGATCCCATCCAGATCCCCTTAAATCTGCTTCCCATGGCTTAGGTGCACCTTCATTTCCAGTGGCTGGTACTGCCCCTGGACTAGCAGAGCCTGCTTTGTCCATACTGGTGGAAAAGCTGAAAATTTATATCCTTCTGGAGTGGCCCTTACCAATGATTCATCAGTATAGGAAGATGAGAGCCTAGCTCCCTTGCCACAGGTCACAGCGACTCTGAGATTAACTTACACTCCAGTGCTCCCCGTGTGATCAGGCTGAGGCTGCTCTGCTAATCACAACTTTTCCTTGGCTTTCCCCACTGCCAGGTCTGGCTTCTCCAACTGCCTTACGAGTTTCCCTAGAAGTCGCCAGCACACACAATTTTTCACCTCAGGGTCTTTTCTGGGGACCCCAACCTAGGACAGAAGCCTGACATATACAAATGGAGTGAGTGACGTATGGGAGGGACGTTTACAGACCATTATTGCGTCGAAATTCTGCACTTTCTTTTTTCTCATTGTTTCAGTTTTGCTCTCAGAGGGAAAATCAAGGCTGGGATGGTGGAAGGGAGGGGGAGGGGAAAACTTCATATTATAAAGATTCTAGGTAGATGGTGCCCTTTAAAAGCCTATGGAAGACTTTGCTATTTCAGGAAGTGTGTTGCTGGCAGCCGACACTGCTGGTTCTGAAGCCACATCATTTAGGCTGTCCTGAAGGTCACCTGTAGCTTCAGCTGACAGTTTCTGAACACCCTCATGCCTTCATCCCTTGAGTTCCTGCACCTCTCTCTGCTTCTGGACTTCCCTGGCCACAGAAGTTACCAGCCAACACACAGACAGGACAGAAGTACCAGAGAGCTCATTCTCCCAAGATCAAGCCTCAACCCAGGGCAGTTGGGAGTCAGTGAATGAATAAATATCTCAGCCTCTTCACCCTTGCTGGGCCGGTTGTGAAGTCTAGGTTCTATCCTGTCTCTCAGAGAGGTCCTGCCAGGATTGAGTTCCAAGTGCCTATAGTTGTAACCTGTTCGTTTGCCCAAACTTTTTTATGGGTTTCTTCCGTTCCTGCCTCCTTTCCTCACTCCCTCACTATGTTTCCTTGGATTATCTGCCAAACGAGCTACACTTGCCCAGGTCTGCAGCTCAGGGTTGGCTTTTGGTGGAAGTCAAAGCAAGACATTCAGTCTGCAATAGACCCAGCCAGAGTCTGAAATCGAGGTCAGGTCTCGAGGAAAGGCAGTTGCCAAGAGCCAGGGCTGTGCATGTGAATGGGGAACAGGGAGCTGGGGTAGAGGCTGCCCCAAATTGAACTCAAGTCTAGCTTGGTGATGGGAGTATCTCAAGAAACAAAAGCAGAGGGGTGCCCGGGTGGCTCAGTCGGTTAGGCAACTGCCTTTGGCTCGGGTTGTGATCCCGGGGTCCTGGGATCGAGCCCTGCATCGGGCTCCCTGCTCAGCGGAGAGCCTGCTTCTCCCTCTGCCTGTCACTCTGCCTATCTGTGCTCTCTCTCTCTATGCCTCTGTCAAATAAATAAATAAAATCTTTAAAAAAAAAAAAAAAGAAACAAAAGCAGAAAGCTAGCTCCAGACTGGGCAGTCAAGATTTTGGTCAGGGGAAGGCTATAGCTGTAGACCTCAGGAGAGCAAGACTAATTCCTGATGGCACCAGGTGGTGGTCTGGAGTTTCTCACGCATCCCCACCTTGGTCAGGGCTCCCTCCAGAGTCAGGGATGAGACTTCCTGGCCTTGTGCTGAGCACAGCTGGAAATGGGTAGCACCTGGGCACCCCTGGATGCTAGCTTTTCAAAAGGGCTGTCAGCTGGATACATGGGTTTTCCAGGATGGGAACTAGGGTGAACAGTGGTGCTAGGGTGATGGGTTTGAGTCAAGAACAGAAGATCTGAGGAATCATAAAGATGCTGAGACACCTTCGCCTGTTGAATTTGACTTTGTGACCTTGTTGAGGGCAAGTCATTCCTCTGTGGGCTCTTTTCACAGGTTAATTTAAAAATATTTAACTACCAGTGAGACACAGGCACTGACTAATCAAAACGGCCCTTGTTGAAGTGACCGGAAGGCCCTCCTCTTAAGCACTGGTCCTGCTAAGGGCCAAATGGGGTCAGTTTCCAAAGCAAGGTTTATGGGCAGTGGAAGAAGAATTGAGTTGAGCACAGCTTTCCTGGGACACAAGAAGTTGCCCCCTCCCCTCTGTAAATTACAGGTGTGATTTCAGGAACCTGCCCAAATTATCTGGAGTTGTTGCCCTGTTTCTGAATGTCTCTGCTCAGACCTGGGAGGACAGAGCATGGCAGGGGGAAGAAAAGATCTACCTTGGAATCTCCAGCATTGCCATACACAACCTGTGAGATCCAGGTTCCTTACATTTCCCCAGGCCTCAGTTTTCCCCTTTGGGGTGTGTGTGTGTGTGTGTGTGTGTGTGTGTGTGTGTGAGAGAGAGAGACAGAGAGACAGAGACAGAGACAGAGACAAAGAAGTGGTGGTGGTGGGGCCTTCATGCTCCAACAATAATACTACGGCCATCATTTGTAGAGTGTTATGTCATAGGCCTGACACTGTCTGAAGTACTTTTCTTGCATTATTTCCCTTAATCCTCACTAACAGCCTGATGTGCTAAATATTATTTCCATTTTACAGATATAAAAACTGAAACTCAGCTAGAAGGAGATAGAACTGGGGTTTGAGCCTAGATCTATTTGACGTCAGATTCTGAGCACTTAACCACCGAAGCACACAGATCCACACTGTTTCAGTGATACTCTATGGGTCCAAATCCTTATGTAAGGTACAGCCTATCTGCCTTTCTTTAAGGATAACCAGAGTGCCAAATTATAAACTAACACAACAGAGCAATAAAGGGTAAATAATTGTAGTTCAGAAGGATTCTCCAGTGTATGCAGTAATTCCTATAGCAGGGAGGTGTCCTTGGGTACCAAATTTGCTCAGAATTTGATGTGCAGTTCTGTTTCCATGGGATTTTATTTATTCCTCCCTTATTACTCATTTAAAGCAATGAGGATGATTTATATTTATGGATCTCTTTTGAGAAGCATAGAATCCTTCACCATCTCCCCCAAATCTCAAACCTTCCACACAGGGGGTTATCATCCCTGTTTCACAGATGGGAGAAACAGAGGCACAGAGAGATGAATGGATCAGACCAAGGGCACTGATAGGGGCAAATCTGGGCCTAGAATACACAGACCCTACATTCCTGCCTGAGCATCCATGGCCTCTTCTGATGCTTTCACTAACCTAAGCCTCGAGGAGGATGAAACTTCATTTGAAAAATTTCCTGCAGACTCTGCATAGTTAGTGTGGAGCAGATGCCTGGCCTGATTAAACTCCCCAAAGAGTATTGTTCTTGTGCCCAAAGGGCAATTGTTTCTTACCCATTTCCATGCAGCCTTTTAGCTACTTGCATTTCCATAGAACTTTGATAAGAGGGGAGATGAAGCATGCTCCTAGGCAGCCCAGCAATATTTTCCAAACCTGTTGGAGAAATAGAGCCTTTAGGGACCTGTTGTTCTCTCACGGTTGGAGGAGATTCCACAGGAGTTGTGCACCGTTGGGTAGACAGTCACTTCCCAGAGGAATTCTTTGGAGGCCAACGGACGGTGGAGAGGTGGGGCAAGATTGGCTTTCTGGTGGCCTGGCTTCATTCAAAGATGTCAGAAGCCCTGAAGGAATTCTGGCTTGCTTCTGTAAATGTTTCTTGTTCTGAAGGGTCCTGGCTTAGGCAGTGGCTGGCAGTGGGAGGTGGTGCTCCCTGCGAAGGGCAGGGTGGGCAGGGAGGGGAGACTCAGAAATGGAAGGAAGTTTCTGAAACCCATGTGGGCCGCTCTGTCTTCATTTCCAAACCCAGAAACCTCACAAGCATAAAAGGGAGGTGGCTGGATCACAGGAACCAACGTAGAAACTGGAAAAAGTTCTGGGACTGTGAAGGTGGTAGGGTCCCAGGGTGGGGGAACAGTGGCAGGGCAGGGGCCGCAGGTGGCTTTCCAGCTGTGCCTTTTCTCTCCCCCATTGTCTGGAGAGGATGATGGCCCTTTGGGTCATTTTTCACAGGGCAGGAGGAAGTCCCACCAGAGGGAGGTCCAGATGGCAGAGGGAAGTGCAGAAGGTACCATGTGCAGGTGGTTTGGCAGTCTCCCTCCCCTGATGGGGTGAGCCTGGAGTGCTCCCTGGGCTCTGAGAGGTGCCGCTGGCAGAGCACCATGGGAGCCTTTCATCTCCAACCAAGTGGATATACTGGTGGGGGAAGGTGACCACCCCAAGGGGCTGGGGTGAGCACTCTCAGGAAACAATGATAAGACCTCTGAGAAGTGCATGTACTATTAACAAATCCAACAAAGGGAGCAAGTTAGGCAGGAGGAGTAAAGCTAATGGAACAAGAATTTAAAATAAGCATAATAAATATCCTCCAGGGGATTGGGAAGTAGGAATAAACATTTATGAAGAAAACGAATTAGAGATAATAGGCATGATAGATAGACTTGTTAAATGAGAGCACCCAATGGGTGGGTTGAGAAAGACTGCAGATTGAGCTACAGAATGAGGTATGGAGAGGGACATTGGGTCAACTCTGACAGAAGGCGCCAGAAAGGGAGAGAAAGGGAAAGGACGAGAGAAATCAATATGGAGGCCAACATTACAAGGGTCGACGTTTGTTTCTAAGACCACCACCAAGAGGGAAATGAGTCAACAGAGGGGAGAAAATAAGTCTTTGAAGAATGAGTGACTGAGAATTTTCCAGACTTAATGAAAGAACCGAGCCCTCTGATTGGAGGGGCACGTGGTGTGCCTAACAGTGTAGATTCATGCACACACACACACACACACACACACACACACACATTGAGACACATTAGAATGAAATTTAAATACATCAAAGACAGAGAAAAGGTTCTGGAGACGGAAACAGATCTCTACAGATGAATCCATTTCAAACAGACATTAAATCTCTCAGCTGCCACGTGGGATGCAGGGAGAATAGAGAGCAACGCTGCAGAGTGGGAGAAAATAACCTTCATACCTAGAATGTGATATACATCTAAGTTATCACTGAAATGTGAATAGGAAGAAAGACATTCTCAGAGATACACAGTCTCAGATGCATACTATGTACAGACACTTGAGAAAGGGTCTCCTGGAGGAAACAAGGAGACGTGGGGGCAGTAAGGGTAAACAAATAACTGAGTCCATTTACTGTTGCCTAAGTAGATAACACAAAAAGTGTATATCCACAACCTTGTGGAACTGAAATGTCAGGCCACGGCGGCATTGCAGGGGTGCTGGTGCAGGTGGAGGAAAGGAAGAATGAAGAGCGGTCAAGGGGATGTGGGAGAAGGTCAAGGTCAGCCTTATTCAGATGGAAGATACACACGATGACATGGAGCTTCTTTTTTAGTGCTCACGGCTGCCCCTTGGTCAGTGGCCCCTCCCCACTCCCCAGCCCTTCACAAAGATGCCCAAAGCAGAGTAGGCTTGTCTAACAAATGCCAACCATAATGAGCACCCTTCCCCTTCTCCTCCTCCTCTTCCTCCTCCTCCTTATTCTTCAGATTTTATTTATTTGTCAGAGAGAGAGAGCACAAGCAGGGGGAGTGGCAGGCAGAGAGAGAAGAAGGCTCTTTGCTGAGCAAGGAGCCTGATGTGGGACTCAATCCCAGGACCCTGGGATCATGACCTGAGCTGAAGCCTGACGCTTAACCGACTGAGCCACCCAGGCGTCCTGCATCCTGCTCCTCAACAGTGACAATGACAACCATTCTGAATCTTGTCCTTCAAATAAGAAAAACTCCGGGACAAATCCATGTCAGGAGAACTTAGGGCTGTAAAGTCTCATCTGACTAGAGGGACTGAGTTGCTCCTAGGTGAGATCAGTGCCACCCTGACTTGTCCTTCGCCCCACTTCACAGGATGGCCAGGCCTAGGTCGTCTGGTCTGCGGCCATCCTTCTCATCGGCTTCATCATTCCGGGGGGCTATTTTCTCTGCCCCTGGTCTCCACTCTGCCCTCGCCTCCCCAGCCCTTCTCTTGTATTTACTACTGGACTTCACTTACAGAAGCTGATTTTTGACACCACTTTTGATGGCTTTTTGTATGATTCCAAGCTATGTTGGTATCTAGGTCTGTCTACAGCAAAGTGGTCAGGAGCTGGGTTCTGGAGCCCCCCACGCACGAGCCATGAGAGATCAGACAGCTGAGAGCTCTTCTCTGTGCTCCAGGTTCTGAATCTGTAAAAGAGGGAGTACTCATGGTCCTTCCACCCGGGGCTGGTATGGGGGTACAGAGATCATGCAAGGAAAAGGCTTCATGCTGTACTTTAACTGTTCAATAAATGTTAGTGTTTTGGTCAGTACTACATCGTTTTTCTGTCTTATTTTTCCCTGGAATGACACAATAATCCTAAAATTATGACCATGTGTTACAGACTAGTGACCACCTAAATGACTTGCTGTTGGGTCTTTCTCTGAAAGATAGACAGTGGTCCAGTCCATATTTTAGAGAAATATCTCTATCTATCTATCTATCTATATCTATCTATCTATCTATCTATCTATCTATCTATCTATCTACACACACACACATACATTTAAATATACACATACACAAAAACATATGCATATACATACACATATATAATATATATATGTAGATAGATAGATAGATAGATAGATAGATAGATACAGAAAGAGACAGAGACACAGAGACACAGAGAGAGACTATGAGCTCCATGAGAGCTGGTTGTGGTGGGTACTTTGGCTTAGAGTCATCAACAGATTCAGTTTTCAATTGGAGTTGTTGCCATGCATGAATCTCCCCAGATACTATCTGGTTTTTTGAGCATTTGTGGGTGCTCTGCATGGACCTCCTTTCCAGCAGCTCCAAACCTGACCCCCCTCGTTAGCATGATGCTGGCCTTAGGCCCCTTTCTCTCACTTCTCAAATCATCCCCTTTTTCATTCCATGAACAGAGAGGACTACGAGAGTAAAGAAGGAACATTAAACAGCCTGCTTTAACGTCCCCCTGGCTTCACAGGACTGGGGACCTGGTACCCCTCTGTGGTGCCCCTCCTGCACTGCCTGTCATGGACCTCCTGGCAGGTGCCCAGATCTGGCCCAGTTTCTTAGGCTCACCTCCTCTACTGTATACCACCCCCTCATGGCTCTGCGGGGTGTGAAAGCTGATCCTGGGCTGGCCCAGTGTGAATGCCCTGGCCCTTGGGAGAGGATCCCACAGACATAGGGCTGCAGAGATGAGCACAGATGCAAGTTATAAAGTAAGGGGGAAGGTGAGTGGATTTTGAAGGGAAAGGACAGCCTGACCAACAAATGTTCGCTCTCCACCTGCCAAGTGGAAGTTGCTCAAACATATGGAGGCTACAGTCGGCTGCACAGCAGGCATCCTGGCCAGAAACTCCTGGAGAGTGGGGCCAGACTCGCCTCCAAATTGTCCCAGTGTGGCTCTGTATCTCTGTTTGAATATGCCACAGGCGTTTCAAAACCAAACCCGTGCTGTGCCGCTCCTCCTCTCATCCTTCCCAGCCCAGAGGATGCCTGCTGGCTGCTGGCTGGTAGCTCTCCCTTGGGGAGGGTCTCCTGGAGAAGAGATCCAGCCCTTCTTGAGAGGGGGACCATAATCAGAATATTTAGTGTGATTTTTTGGGTACTAAGCCAATACCCAGAATAGTGCCTGGCAGGTAGCAGGTATTCATTCAATAATATTAGTTGAATGAATGGGGAGGGCTTTCAGAAGGCGGGATCTTGCTTCTGTTCTTACAAGTCTTTTCTGTGTAGAGGTCTGAGAGAATTCATGTTTGTATTTCCCTGGGCATTGGTGGCTGTGGTTTACCCCTCCTCCTCCCCCAGCTGCTTTGAGGGGCTGCTACAGCTCACAGCAGCCCCTCTTCTTTGGAGAATAACCCTTGGAGCTCACTTTGCCTAGGAGTTATGAATATTCCCATTCAAAGCAGCCCATAGAGACTGGCTTACTGATAAAGGGGTACAATGCCCTTAGTTGCCTCTAGGCTGCTAGAAATCATAGGATTTTTGCTCCAGAGCCCCCATTAATTTCAGGCCAAGGTTAAACTTACTTGAGACCAGATATATTTGCCCCTCCCCTTCCATGTCCTGCTTCCCTCCCACGTACTGAATTCCTGTCCCAGGCTCTGCTTCTAGGGGAACCCAGCTAAGACATCCTCCAAGAGACTTCTGCTTTCACTCTGAGCTCAGAACTGTTGAGTTTGGAAGGGACCTTAGACATCAAACTCCTTTATTTGGAAGATAAGGAAATCGAGGCCCAGTGTCAGGGCTGGGCTAGAAGTAAACCCACACTAAGAGTTTTATCTGGCAACTGCCTGAGATGCTGGGCATGGGAGGCTCTCACTCTGGCCCATAAACCTATATGCTGTGGTGCATGGTAGAGTCCCCTCACCCCCTGATCTAACCTCATCTCCTCACCCCCAGGGTTTTCAGGGCTGGCAGTGGGGGGCCCAATATCTGTACCAAGATAGCTAGAGGGACTCTGTTCGCGGGGAGGAGAAAGGCCATTGTTGTTGCTTTCACAACCATGAGGAAGAGGCCAGGCCCACCCCTGGCTGACTGTCCTGGGCCACCATGCTTGGGAGTGGGGGGACACCTTAGAGGACTCTATCTTCCTTTTTTTTCTTTATCATTAAAATCTATCTTCAGAGTATTTCTGTTTATAATCATGTCCATAGTGGCTTCTTTTCAAATGTGACCCTTTTGGTGGCCACAGCCTGGCTGAGGTGCTGAGGACCCTGAAAGCTTCTAAGAAAGACCCTGAAGGGGCTTGTCCCGCCCCCCAAAAATGTTGGATTCCTAAGCCCAGCACCCGCGAAGGTGACCTTCTTTGGGACTAGGGTCTTTGCAAATGCACTTATATGTAAATTAAAGTGAGGACATGCTAGAGGGGGACAGGCCCTTAGTCTACTATAAATAGTACTCTTACAGGAGAGGAGAAGACAGACACGCAGGAAGGATGCCATGGGATGACAGAGGCAAAGGCTGGGATGATACATTTGCAAAGCAGAGGAAGCCAGGGAGCAACTGCCACCACCAGAAGCTGGAAAGGGCAATGAAGGGGTCTACCCAGTCTCAGGGAGCGTGGCCTGGCTCGCACCTTAACTGCAGACCTCTGGCCTCCAAGACTGTGGAAGAATTGATTTCCGTTGTTTTGAGTACCCAGTTGGTGACTTTTTTTTTTTTTTCAACACTGGGAAATTAATACAGGGTTGTTTCTGGAAACCCAGGTTACTGTGTACCCTTTATGCTTTGGGGAACCAAATGCCTAAACAGGAACCAGCAGGAGAAAAGCAGTTAACTGGTATCCCCACTTTGGACCCCCCACACCCTGATGGGGGTCCAAATTCCAAGAACGAGAACCCAAGAATGAGTTTTTGCTTTTCCTCATGGGAAGATCGTGGGGTTGTGAGGGAAAAGGGCTGTTGGGCAAAACAGGGAGCAGAGCCCTTCCTGGGAACAGGGCTGCCTGAGTTCTAATCTGGGTTCTACACCCTGGGGATTGGATGGAACACGCCAGTCTACCTTGTTTTCTCTTGGATATAGCTGAGTTTGGGGATGGACTCTGCACCTGGTACCACAATTTTCTCAAGCCCAAGAAGGCCCGCCTCATATTTTCAGGTGAGGTCTTAACGGTCTGTTTCTGCCCTGATCAGGCTCAACAGGTCCCAACAGTCTTGAGTTCAGATTCCAGGCAGACATCTTTCCCTCCCTGCATTCTGCTTCCGCTCCAGACTCCAGTTCCCTTCAGACCATCTCTCCATCTGGTCTTCATTTGTGCCTCAATGGAAGACCCCCACAGGGACCCCACATTGTCCACCATGGTCTCTCAATTTGGCCCTCTTGCCTTTTAAAAAAAATTTGATGAAGCTATTGGTTCATTAGTCTGTTCCATGAATTTTTATATAAAGACTTATGGAGAAATTTCCCTTATGCTTATTAAAAAAGTTTTTAAATTCTTCCAATGTTACTTTTTAAAAATTAACTCACTATAACTAATGAAATAATACAAAGTTATATATACACATATATACATGTAACCATTTCTACCTGCATGCCCCTCCATTCCTTCCTTTTCTGATAACCTCACTTCCTCATCCTCAAAATAGCTGTTGGAGAGACTGCTGAAGGCTAATCAGTACCCATTCTGCCTGATCATCTCAGTTTAATAAACCTTAGATTTTAGGTATTACAGTGCTCCCTCACTAAAAGATTACATTTCCCAGCTTCCTTTGCAACAATGTGTGGTCACATATCTAGATTCTGGCCAATGAGATGTAAGTGGAATTGTCATGTGAGAGAAACTTCTCAGAGACCTCATTTAAAAGTAAGCTTTTCTTTCCCTCTTTCCTTTTTCCTTCTTGCTCTCTTGAATATGATGGCTGGAGCTCCAGCATTTATCTTGGACCATGAGGAAAAGGGCCATACCATGGGACAGTGGAGGAGTGACCCAGAAGAAACCTCTGTTTCCATGACTTTGTAGAGCTATCATATTGGACTGCCTACCTCCAGTCTCCTTTTATGTATGGGAGAAATGAGCTTCTATCTTAAGTCACATTTTTTTCTAGTCTCTGTTACTCGCGATGAAACCTAATTCTATCTGGTAACAAATATTGGCCAACTTGGTGTTTCCTTCCACATACTTCTCCAGATCATACAAACAGGTGCAGATACATAAACATATATGCAATTTTGTGTGGGTTTCTGTTTAAAAAATGGAGTCAATAAATGTTTCTGCTTTTAGCTTTTCTTACTTGACAATGCATTGTAGATATTGAAGTATTGCTTATAGTGGTCCAAAAAGAAAGTAAAAAACAAAACTAGAAGCAACTTATAAAGGTTACTGACCTTGGCTGATGGACACTCTTCCCAGCTCCAAAGCAATTGGCCTGGAAGAAAAAATAAGAAGAAATTTGATTACATTGGACCATTTCCATCATGAAAGGGGTAGTGTTTTGTCCTTATTATAGACACTTATTCCAGATACAAACTTGCCTTCCTTGCGTTCAATGCTTCTGCCAAAACTATCATCCATGAACTTATAGAGTGCCTTATCCACCATCACGGTATTCCACACAACATTGCTTCAGACAAAAGAACTCACTTCACAGCAAAGGAAGTGCAAGCAATTGGCCCGTACTCATGGAATTCATTGGTATTGCCATGTTTTCCATCATCATGAAGTGGCTGTCTTGATAGAATGATGGAATGGCCTTTTGAAGACTCATTTACAGCACTAGCTGGGTGACCATACCTTGCAGGGCTGGAACAAAGTGTTCCAAATGTACATATGGTCTGAATCAGCAACCAATATCTGGTGCTGTTTCTCCCATAGCCAGGATTCACGGGTCCAGTAATCAAGGGGTAGAAATGGAAGTGGCACTACTCACTATTACCCCTAGTGACATATCAACAAAATATTGCTTTCTGTTCCCATGACTTTACACTCTGCTGGCCTAGAAGTCTTAGTTCCTGAGGGAGTAATGGTGCCACCAGGAGACACAAGGATTCCACTGAACTGGAATTTGAGACAGTCACCAGGCCATTTTGGGGTGCATGCTTCTGAATCACCTGGCAAAGAAGGGAGTTGCTGGGTTGGATGGGGTGCTTGATCCTGACTCACAAGGGGAAATTGGACTGCTTTTCTACCATGGAGGAAGGAGGAGTATGTCTGGAATATAGGAGATCCCTCAAGGCATCTCTTAGTATCACCATGCCTTGTGATTAAGGTAAACGGAAAACTGTAATGACCCAATCCAGACAGGACTAGTAATGGGAGAGACTCTTCAAAAATGGGTTTGGGTCGCTTCACCAGGTATAGAAGTATGACCAGCTGAGGTGCTTGCTGAAGGCAAAAGGAATACAGAATGGATAGTAGACGAAGATAGTTGTAAGTCCCAGCCATGATCACATGACCAGTTATAGAAACAAGGCTGTAATTGTTATCGCTATTTCTTCCTTGTTTTATGAATGTTTGTGTGTGTATGTACATATATTAAGCAAATATTTTTGTTTTCTTTCTTCCCTTATTTTTCTTATTACATAACATAAGAGGTATTGTCTTTATATCAGTATTTAAGTATTGTTAATTTTACATCATAGTATTTAAGATACAGGATATCAAAGAGAGGGGTAAAGTGCACTCAAGGAGTTTAGGGGAAGGGGAAAGGGTTTTTTCAGTTGTATGCAGAATAGTTGTATCATGTTAGGTGGAATTATAACCTTGTCCTTATTCAGTATGAAGTATGGTTTAAGGAGACATAAACAGGTGCCAAATTGACAAGTGGTAGACTTGTGATGGTTAATTTTATGTGTCAATTTGACTGGCCTAAGGGATGCACAGGTGGCTGGTGATACATTATTTCTGGTTGTGTCTGTGGAGGTGTTTCTATTTTTTAATTTTTTTATTGTTATGTTAATCACCATATATTACATCATTAGTTTTTGGTGCAGTGTTCCATGATTCATTGTTTGTTCATAACACCCAGTGCTCCATGCAGAACGTGCCCTCCTCAATACCCATCACCAGGATAACCCATCCCCCTCCCCCCCTCCCCTCTAGAGCCCTCAGTTTGTTTTTCAGAGTCCATCATCTCTCATGGTTCGTCTCCCCCTCTGACATACTCCCCTTTTCTTCCTCTCCTGTTATCTTCTTCTTTTTCTTTTTTCTTAAAATATGTTGCGTTATTTGTTTCAGAAGTACAGATCTGTGATTCAACAGTCTTGCACAATTCACAGCGCTCACCGTAGCACATACCCTCCCCAATGTCTATCACCCAGCCACCCCATCCCTCCCACCCCCAACCACTCCAGTAACACTCAGTTTGTTTCCTGAGATTAAGAATTCCTCATATCAGTGAGGTCATGTGATACATGTCTTTCTCTGATTGACTTATTTCACTCAGCATAACACCCTCCAGTTCCATCCACGTCGTTGCAAATGGCAAGATCTCATTCCTTTTGATGGCTGCATAATATTCCATTGTGTATATATAACACATCTTCTTTATCCATTCATCTGTCGATGGGCATCTTGGCTCTTTCCACAGTTTGGCTATTGTGGACATTGCTGCTATAAACATTGGGGTACACGTACGCCTTCGGGTCCCTACATTTGTATCTTTGGGGTAAATACCCAGTAATGCAATTGCTGGATCGAACGGCAGCTCTAATTTCAACTGTTTGAGGAACCTCCATACTGTTTTCCAGAGTGGTTGCACCAGCTTGCATTCCCACCAACAGTGTAGGAGGGTTCCCCTTTCTCCGCATCCCTGCCAACATCTGTCGTTCCCTGACTTGTTAATTTTAGCCATTCTGACGGGTGTGAGGTGGTATCTCACTGAGGTTTTGATTTGGATTTTGTGGAGGTGTTTCTAAAAGAGAGTAACATCTGATTCAGTAGACTGAGTGGAGAGACTGGAACTCACCAATGTGGGCAACATCATCCAATCCACTGGGGGCCTGAAAGGAACAAAAAGGCAATGGAGAGGTGAATTCCTCTCTTCTTGAGCTGGGACATCCATCTTCTCCTGCCCTTGGACATCTCAGCATCTGGTTCTTGGGCTTTCAGACTTTAGGACTTACACCATCAACTTCCCTGGCTGTCAAGCCTTCAGACTCAGACTAAATTTTGCCCCTGGCTTTCCTGGTTGTCCAGCTTACAGATGTCAGGCTGTGGGACTTTTTGGTGTCCATAACTGCATGAACCAATTCCTATAGTAATTCTCCTCATCTATCTATCTATCTATCTATCTATCTATCTATCTATCTATCTATGTATCTATCTATGTATCTATCATCTATCTATCCATCCATCCATCCATCCATCCATCCATCCATCCATCCATCTAGCCATCTATCTACCTACCTACCTATCCCATTGGTTCTGTTTCTCTGGAGAATCTTGACTGATACAAAGACCTATTCTTGATCCTTTCATCGAAAAATTGAAGCTTTTGGTCAGGACCTAGAAAAATAAACAAAGTTTGGAAAGATAAAAAAAATCATGTGTAATCATCCCTGCTACATATTTTTTAAATTAAAAAATATTTTTATGAAGACATATATGTTTGGCCCCAAAGAAGAGAACTTAATTGGCAGAACTTAATTGGCAGAGTTGCTTAAATAGGGAAAATAAAGGCTTAAAGTGGAAGAAAGCCTGGTAGGCTGTTACAAATACTTGACCAGTTGGGTTGAAGGTTACTAGGTATCTAGTGTTAGCGGCTGCTAATTTGACATGTGACTCAGAGTAAACCACTTTCCGGTAGGCCTTAATTTGCCCCCCAAATATGATGGGAAAATCTCTTGGGACTTCTTTGGCTCAACGACTATTGAGTTGTCAGTAAGGATGCAAGGCCTCCAGGCAAAGTTCCTAGTTCTACGCACCAAGCCACCACTGCTTTCCTTTGGGTTGCTATACAGTACAGGTGATTTCACAGACCTTGAGGCAAATGCCTCACTGCCTCTGGGCCAGCCCCACAGAGAAAGTCTTGAAGAGCAGGTTGAAGGATCAACATAGGGCAAGAAGCATCCTTCTTCTATCAGTGACTTGCTTGGGTGATATTTGTGGCACAAGACAAAATAAAACAAAACAAAGCCCAGGCAAGTAAGTGCTTCTGGTTTAGTGTGGTGCAAGATCCATCAGGGTGTGGTGGGTCCTCAGAGGAGATGCTTGGATGCCTTAGGAAGGATGGGCCGGGCCATCAAGGACTATGCCAGCAATAGACAGAAGCAGCTTTCAGTTGAGGGAGACAGGAGAAT